AGTGTGTGTGTGTGTGTGAGTGTGTGTGTGTGTGTGTGTGTCTGAGGGATAGAGACGTGGGGGGGATGGGGGTGGGGGGCTCTGTGTCATTAATTCAAAGCCTGCATGTGTCACTCAGACAAAAGTCAGAATTCTCAAGCTGTAGCTTCTGGAGATATTAATAAGTAATTTAGCTGAAAAGTTTCTCATTTTTTTCAATTTTATTCTCAGCCTCCTCATGAAGTTCTTTCTCTTATTTCTAATTCCATCTGAAAATCGTAACGAGGCCCTTTGATGAGAAGTTTGGGACTCCCTCAAAATGCGGTCCCACACACCATCAAGACTTTCTCTCTTCTATCCTTCTATCCCTCTTCCTCCTTCTTCTGTGCATTTCCCTCCATCCCTTTGTTTTCCTTCATCTCTGCCTCTGTTCCCCTCTTCCCTGCCCCTATTCTGAACCCCTCTCCATTCCTGCCCTCCTCCCACTCATTTCCTTTTCTTCTCTTGCCTCTTACTCCTTCCCTCCTTCCTGGGGAGGTTCCCCCGTCGCTGCCAGTCCCCTCCGCTTTCATGCTCTGGTGCAGCTGCGTTCCCCTCATTCTGAGATTATCACGCCCCAGCAGCGTCAGACACGAGGCCCCCGCCACAGCCGCGACGGCAGCGCCAGCCGCCCCCTTCATCAATGGCATCGTCATCCCATTTTCACTCTTCCGCCGTTCTTATGCAACACGGAGCGAAACTTTGCTCCCCATTAACAAGACTGAATGTTCAAGCCAGACATTCCTGGAGGGCCGAGGAGAGGAAAGGCTGCATATCCTGGTTAGAAAGTAAGAAGCGGTGCCTATGGGGAAAGACTGAAGTCATACTACAAACACTAGACAGGATCTGAACGCAAGAAACCGCTGTGATTGGTGCAGGAGCGAGAGAGAGGTTCCACCTAAACACGGCTTACATTTTAAGCGTTACGTCACCTAACAAAACACAATATAATCCTTCAAGTGAACAATTCTCCTTGCATGTGTTTTCACTTCAAACTACTTTTTACCTTAATGTGTAACAGTCATCCTTTCGAGAGGTAGTCGTGACTTTTCACTTTAACGCTTTCTGTCCCCATCGCTTGGCTTGCCTTAAGATGCTTTTAATGTGGGCTCTCATCAGGAATATAAATCACGTGGGCATGAACTCAAAGAACAAACATCCAGGGATTTCAAGGGATTTCTGTTGTTTGTTCTTTATTTAGAAAACATAAGAATCTGTAAATCTCCACACCGGTAAGTCAAAGACAAAAACTATGCAGTTACAGTGCTTATATGTTTATAATGTTTAGATTAACCTGGGAATTATATTTAGATTTGTAGTGAGACAGAAATGTTTTTAGATTGTGGGAGGAAATTGGAGTACTTGGAGGAAATCTGTACGAAACAGAGAACGTGCCAGCGATGTACACAATGGAGATGGCATTCGAACCCTGGCCCAGGAAGCATAAGCTAACTGCTAGCCACTGAGCCAACATGCCACCCAAGATCTCAGAATCAGCTCATCGAAACAGTTGTTGTTCTTTTTCCATTTCCCAGTCTTGTAGGTGAAAACGTTACATTACATTAGCTGAACAGAAAGACAAACATGTGCGTTAATTACTCAGTATGCACACATAATTATACCACTCTGTTGTCTGAAATCCAGACAGGCCCCTCTTCTACAGTATGGGGCAATTTTCCACCAGGGTGTGGGCAAAGGGCACAGGGATCGCAGCTATGACCTGCTCCAGCACACTGCCCCGGAAGGACCCGGAAACAACAGGAACAACTGGACAGTAATGATCACCTTAGTGCAGCAGGTGCTGAAAGCCCATCTGCATCCTCCTCCCAGGCTCATAGTCACTGCCCCAGACTGAGAAACAGGTACAGTACTCCGTCGATGCCCATTGCACCCCATGATACACACAGGGTTGCCAACTCTTGCATCTGGCGTGACACTTACACTTTCAGACTATCACGCTCACATAAGGAATCTTATG